GCGGGGGGGGAGGCGGGCAAATGGCGGGCGGGCGCCGGGGGGGTCCCTGCTCGGGCTCTGGGGCCGTCCCGGGGACCAGTCCCAGCTGCTAAATTGAGGGTCGCGGCGAACGATGAGATTTCACGAAGCATTTTTAAATTATCATTTAGTTTGGAGTGTGTATTTGATGCACACGCTTGAGGTAGTGAAGTCATCTGGTGTCTGCAGTGGGACGGTGAAGCGTTAGTTCAGTCCTCTTCTGCATATACATTAATAACATTTTCTATGATCCTCTTGTTCTGACAGTATTTTTGTTCAGTCTATAGACTCCACATTATTCCTTTTTTTTCTTTTTTTTTTTTTTTGGTGTGTGTCCATACTTCCTACTGACCACGCATCACTCAGGTCCTGCCCCCGAAGAAAACTCTTCAATCTTTCAGTGAGCTTTTTACTCATATGTGAGAGCAAATACTGTATTACAGCATCAAATAAAATACTGTAAACACAGCTCTGTTGTACTGTATGGACTACTTTCCATAAAAACACTTAATAATTTTAGGATAACCCATAAGCCGCCGGAGTGTTTGGGTGAGGAAGCGTGGCGCGGCGAGCAGTTACAGAGGTGTATTTTTATCAGATACTCGCTAGCATAAAAATCAGCGTTGGGATTGAATGCGGAGGAAAGGAAAGCAATCCCTGTGGCTTAGTCCGGTAATCCTCTGAAAGTAAATTGGCCCTACTCTAATCAACAGAGTGGTTGGAGAAAAAGTGAAATTGTTTCACTTCCAAGATAATAAATGACAAATGCCGGAAGGTGTCCTTGCGTGTTTGAGTATAACGGCTATGTTCTGATGGATGTGTGGCTCTTAGGCTACTCTTTCAGCCTTTTTTGGCTAAGAAAACAAAAACCCCCAAGCCTGCTTTAGTTAATGAAGTTCAGTTTCACCCGGCTTGCCCTGTTGTGATAGTCCAGTTCAAAACGTTACCTGCTCTGCCCTTTAGAAAAATCTCCCGTAACTTTACTTTTACCCATTCGAATGCGTGACTCGCCCTGTTCCCTTCCCAGGTTTGGGTGTCCCGATCCCGGCCCGGGGAGCCCGAGGAATGCACTCAAACACCGTCCTTCTCCCAGGAGTGTCACTTTGTTTTGAACCGGTCTTGTTTTAGAAATACTACTGCATTCTGTTCTAATTTTCCAGAGCCCCCTAATCTTCTTCCAGGGTCTTAATGATGTAGTCGATAATAGGATTGTCGGTATTAATTTGGAACAATAATGCCAGCTGCTTGCTTGGTGGCTATTGGCAGAGGGGTGACCTTGCAGGTCAGTTAAGCAGAACTGGAAGTGCTTTGATCTGATCTATACAGAGCTAGATCTGTCCACCCGAACGAGGAGGAGCGAGCGAATTCTCTCTCCATGGGATGCTGATTCTTCTCCAGCGAGCAGGGGGGACAGCATGGCAGTGGGTTTTGAGGCGATCCTCGCTCGGATCAAGGATGTCTGTAAGAGAAACGGTTTGCTCATTCTCTCGGTGTTGTCGGTCACCATCGGGTGTCTGCTGGGCTTCTTCCTGAGGACGAGGCGGCTCTCCCAGCAGGTACGTGTGCCGCGGCAGTCGCTCACGACACGGAAAATACCGTACTTACGTAACAAAAGGCATAACAACTTGTGGAACTGCAGGATTGGACTGTGGACGATAAAAAGCACCTATGTGCGTTTGTTAAATTTGTTTAATTTCATTTGTTTGTTAACCTACGCTTGTTCTTTGGGTCTTTTCACGCGTTCTCAAACAATACGTTTGCAAAGGGTTCTGGTCTTTAAGACACCTAGTAAGTCTAGCATAAGCATATTATAATGTTCCAAGTGTGGATGATAATAATAGTGGGTGTTTAAGTGAGATGAAATGTAGCATCTATTATAGTCCTCTTAGAAACTGGTAGTGCAATATATTCATTGGATTATATTTTACTCTGGAACATGTCCTTCTAAAGAAAACACTGGGAGCATTTTTCATCATCAGATGTACAGAGGTACAGATGATTATGTTACACCAATGGTGGTTTTATAATGGTAAATTTGAGATTTGCCATCATTAGCAGACCATGTTATTAAAGTCACTTGGGGATTTCTCCTCCAGCACACTTCAGCTAAGCTCTTTGCAGGAACTCTTATCTTTCTGCTGTGTTGCTCAGACAGAACAGAGAGGCCAACTTGCATTGCTGAATGCATTGTTTGTGCACAAAATATAAATCTTAATTAAAAAATATGGCACTTAGTAAGTGGGACTAAACTAAAACAATTCTTCATTCTGCTACTGCTAACTGCAGTCTAGACTTCTTTTATGTCCAAGCAGTAGCTTCATACACATCTTCATACACATCTACAAACACATCTTCGTACACATCTACATATACATCATACACACACAAAACGCAGAATCAAGAGATTATTCAGGGCAACCTATTAACAGTAGTTCCCAAGAGACAGCATATTCCATTTTTGTCTTCCTTTATAAAGGAACAAATGATGTAGTGTGTTTTTGTTGAATTACAAGAGAATATGTATTTTAAAGACGTAATTTTACAATGATCTTTCAAAGCCTACTATCTTTGCCACCTTATATACCAAAGCTGCAGATTTTATTAATGTTTTCTGATCCACAGCTGTAGCAGGACTTATGAAGACAGATAGTCTTTATCTCAAAACAATAAGCATCTCTCCATGTATTTCTAGGAAATTAGTTATTTCCAGTTTCCTGGTGAGTTACTGATGAGGATGCTGAAAATGTTGATTCTCCCACTGGTTGTCTCAAGGTAAGCGAGGACAATGATTGTTCCAGTAACTTTTGAAGTTTCCTAAATGATACATGGCATCACTGCTGTTTTGGTTTTAACTGAATTAATATCAAAGTGGCAGGGCAATTACTGACGGCTGTATATTCATATTTATAGTGGAGCTACATATTTTTTAATCAATAGGAACATTTATGTAATACCTTATATAGGTATTATTTTCATTAAAACTCATGTGGGTTTTTTTTAAGGGATGTTTTCTTCTTTCCTTATAATGGGAGGACTTTTTCCTTCAAGCTAACTAGAAGTTAAATATATGGAATAAATAATGCACCTTATCAAAAAGCCTACCTTAAATCTAAACAATTGAAATAATACACCATTCAAATAAGATGAAAAAGCACCATTAATTTATAGTCTTCTACAGTATTTTGAGAGATGTGTTGTATTATGATGAATATAGAAAAAAAAGACGTGTCTGCAGCGAAGTAGTAATATGTGCCTGGCTTCAGGTGGAAGTGAAAGTGATTGCTTAGTACATTAAAGGCAGAACCTTTAGTGGTGCACTTTATTGGTGGCAGGATTAATGATCTAGATCCTGGTGCTGAGGGCTGGTGCATGGCAGCTGCCTTTGCATAATTTAGGATAGCTTTTTCTCTCCTCTCAATTCGTCTTGTCTTCCAACTGACTGCAATCACAACTACCAGTGGGATGTCCAAAAGCTCTCAGCCCAATGCTAAGAGAAGAAGTAAGGAGAGATGGAGAGTAACAAAGCTAACTTAGACCTAACCAGATCTGAGTAAAATATCTTGTGCTCTTTGGTGCCTTTCCTTGTAGCCTCGTTTCTAGGCTTCAGATCACTGAGAGTTGCTGAAAATAAACACAACCCAGCACTAATTTTATTTTTAAATCATCTACCTTCTCGTGGTTTTTTACAGCATGAAGCTGATTCATGGCACTTGCATGAACTGGCCATAGTAAGACCATAGATTCACACTTGGTTCTGTCCCACGCAGATATAGAACATCAAGATAAAATATGTTGGATTTTTTTTTTGAGAGGTGAAAAGAGAGTTTTCCAGGGACAATAAGAATGTCACGTGAGCAAGTGTCATAATAAGAACAGAAAAGGGTAGGAGTGTCACATCCCCATCCCTAAAATGTATAGTTCTTTAAATCCCCTTGGT